TAATAAAAACAAGAAAAATACTCCACCTATACGAATGCTAGGGACCCCTGTCCCATGGCACATGTCAGCAAAATATTTAGGCGTCACCCTTGACTATAGGCTTACTTTTGAGTCTCATGTCAAAAGAGTAACGCGTCTAGCACGTTTCTATTTAGGTCGGCTTAACAGTATGTTAGGCAGACATAGCAAAATGTCATTGCGAAATAAGCGAACCCTCTATAAGGTTTGTATACGACCGGTTATGACTTACTCGGCTCCTATTTTTGCACACGCTAACGATAAAATTATTAACGAACTCCAAGTAGTTCAAAACCTCTTCTGTCGTCGAGCTACGAACGCACCTTGGTACGTCCGTAATGCCGACCTTCACCGGGATTTAGAAATCCCAACAATCCAGCAATGTCTTAAAAAATTCTCTGAAAACTTCTTTAAAGTATCAGAGTCGCATACTAACACACTTATTCGTGAGGCAGTTACTTATACCGCCCCACTCCCTTCTCGCTATAGCGTCCGCAGGCCGAGAAACACTCTCTCGGACCCGCCAAATAAGTTGTCAAACGACCTGAACTGCCTCCTGGCGGCTCAGGCCAATCCTAATTAAATTAAAAATTAGTTAAAATTAATAATATGCCTTCGTAGGCAGTCCCTAAACGGCACTTAGCCGTCTGCGCCCTCTTTTCCCAAAAGAGGGTCGCTTTAGATACGGCATATGCAGCTTTAATAGAGCTAGTTGCCAGTCCCCAAAGGCGGTTTTTAGTGGGTATCACTTAGGTCCCCCGGTAGGCAGTGAGTCCCACATAACCAGGACAGACCGGCTGTCGTGGTATGCATAATGCATTTTCCGCCTCCCTCAGTGGTAGCCCTTTTCCAATTGCTTCGGGCGCAAAAAAAAAAAAAAAAAAAAAAACGACGATTTCAGTATCCCGCGCGTTGAGAACGTATAGTCGTATAGTGAATATATTGTGTATTAGTTGAGTTAGTGTAACGTAACAATGGCACGTACTAAGCAGACCGCTCGGAAATCCACCGGTGGTAAAGCGCCGCGTAAACAACTGGCCACCAAAGCAGCCCGTAAGAGCGCACCAGCAACCGGCGGTGTTAAGAAACCACATCGCTACAGGCCCGGTACCGTCGCTCTCCGTGAGATTCGTCGCTACCAGAAGAGCACCGAGCTCCTCATCCGCAAATTGCCGTTCCAACGTTTGGTGCGTGAAATCGCTCAGGATTTCAAGACCGACCTCCGCTTCCAGAGCTCCGCCGTGATGGCCCTTCAAGAGGCTAGCGAAGCTTACCTAGTCGGGTTGTTCGAAGATACCAACTTATGCGCGATTCATGCAAAACGCGTAACCATTATGCCGAAAGACATACAGTTGGCGCGCAGAATTCGCGGTGAACGAGCTTAATAAACTCTACTCTACCGATTGTGTTGTGAACTACGTTTAATTTTTAACATCAATCATTGATTGGCAGTGTGAAAGTGGCAATATTAAATATGCCTCATTAACAACAACTACACGTTGACAAGATGATGATGATTGTGTTGGTTTTAACGTATGTTCTCTTTCACTTTCATAAAAGGCCCTTTTCAGGGCCGCATATGTTTCTACACAATAAACTGTGCGTTTCTTTAGAATATAAGAGAACGTTAAACGAGCAAGTAATAGATAGATAGATAGATAGATAGATAGATAGATGGTATGGTATGGTATGGTAATATTATGAGATAACAAAAACATAATATCGAATTAAGGCTCAGCAAATCGAAATGTTTATTTAGATACCGTTTAAATAAATTAATAGATAGATGTACTAATCTAGTATAATAAATAGACGACAAACTGTATACTATTTAACATCATAAGATACACAGTAGGGTAAAGCTTACCTGTCTCACGACGGATGATCATTCATCACCATCATCGACGATCGGCGCCGACGATGCCTGCGCCGCCGCTGCCCGCGAAGACTACCACCACCAATGTTCACGCGCAGAACGCTTCTGTTAGTTAGGATGCAGTTTTTTTTTTTTTAAATAAATAAAAATCTTCGTCTTCATAATAATATAAATTATAATATCTTACTTTGGATAATCATATTAAATGAAGTGATACAAAATAGAAAACGACATGTTTCGACAATAATATTATCTGTACTTTATATACACCTCGTTCAACCCGCGACATTATTTCATGGCGGGCTTTGAGTATTAAAATTAATGGGGGATTGACTAATTTCTCTTTTTTTTTTTTTAATAGTATGCGGATTGACCTCAGGACTCATTGGATGGAGTCTAGCCATTGTCGCAGGACAAAATCGTATTACCTTATACGTAGTAACTAATTAGATACCTTTCTATATTCTAATATATAAATTTTATTTTTGTTTGTTCGTATATAATGCGCTACCATACCGTTCATCAGATTGCGCTAAAATTTAGTCAACTTATTGCTAACTAATAATCTTACAATAGATGGCGCGCGTATCGAACTGACAAATTTATTTATTTATTATTATATAGAGACTACCTCTTCCAAATTTTAAACGATATTTCGACAATTTTTTTTTTTTTTCCGTGTACCATCTACAGCAACACGAAACATCCACCCCCCTCCCCTCCCCCCACCTTCGCCTTATTATTTGCCCGGCCATTTTATACTTCCCCGCACCCTCGCCTCAGCCGTCTCAGTCGTCTGGGTGACTTTATATAAACGGGAAAAAGTTGGTGCGGTCTATCTGTCGTCGTGCGTTCGTAACGTACGTTAAGTCTCTATATATATTATTTCGTGTGTTGTCTTTCTTCTCTAAGCGAAAATGACCGGTCGCGGTAAAGGTGGTAAAGGTTTGGGGAAAGGTGGAGCGAAGCGGCACAGAAAAGTTCTTCGTGATAACATCCAGGGTATCACCAAACCGGCTATCAGACGTCTCGCACGCAGGGGCGGTGTGAAACGTATCTCCGGGTTAATCTACGAAGAGACACGCGGTGTACTCAAGGTGTTCCTTGAGAACGTGATTCGTGACGCTGTTACATACACCGAGCATGCGAAGAGGAAAACCGTCACCGCAATGGATGTCGTGTACGCCCTGAAACGTCAAGGACGTACCCTCTACGGATTCGGTGGTTAATTTCTTATACGCTACGCGATGAAGACGTCGTCCACCGCCACGTACTACGGCTCTCTGTCCGCTCTAAGTTCGTCTATAGTACACCATGTGCGCAGTGTGTATTTGCTACTTGGTATGCGGGACTCTGAGAGTTAAGTTACGTGATGAGACGATTTTCCTAATCGTATAAGTTTAAAAAAAAAAAGGCCCTTTTCAGGGCCGCAAAACTATCGATATAACTTGTATTTGTTTCGTAGAGTATCGTCATTTAAAAAAAAAAAAAAAGAAATGATATGTGCAAGCATGTATTTTGTTGTACGGATATGTGTATAAATGGCATGATTATGTAGTATATAATTGCGAATGTATGTGTGTTTATGATCATGTATGTAAGTGCATATTAGAATTAGATGTGTCTGTCTATAAAGTTATGTTAAGTATTTAAAGCTGTAAAGGCATCACATAAGATTTATGTATACCAATTAAACGCGGAACAAAATTAGGTTTATTTTTTTTAATTCGAAATAATTTCGAAAAACTGATCTGAATGAAAGAAACGTCAATTCATGTAGGCATTAAATGACTATACTCTTCTTAAATTTGACGATACCTATTAAACAACAAGTGTAAGATATCGCCATATTGAAATAATGGTTCGAACGTCTTAGGAATATATTATCATAATTCCGAATTGTATTTTTTTTTTCTCTCTTATTTATCTCCCTTATTATTTAATATATACATTATAATATGATATACTATATTTTAATAATATCACACTTCATTTTTTTTTTTTTTTTAAATACTTAACGCTTTATAAACATACGTTGCTCTGAAGCGTGCCCAGCTTTTGTACGTATTTTAAAGAAGTATGGGAACGTGTTGCAACATTCTAGAAATAATAATGATTTATAATAATTATTTCAGATTACAGTGGACAAATTTTAAAATATTATAGACTATTTTCAAAGATCGTACGCTTTGTATAGGGACTTCGGTCTGTGAGCCTCGAGACCTCTTCGTGTTTTACGACCTTCGACGTATAATAGGTCGTTGCATTACGAATAATGCATTACCGGCGTGACCTCTGCCTTCTGTCTAACCTCAGGATATTAACTTTCAATAGACCGATTTAAATTTAACTAAACTAATGAGCAAATAGAGAAAAATCATTTTAAAAGGCGGCTCATGGTACGCTCAGAATATAGTGAACAAAATAAACATCCATTGCTCGTTTCTCGATCGCTTATATACGTAACGGGTTTGTCTGTTACGTGCACAATCTCAAATATATACCGTATTAACTTTCTGAATACGATAATATTTATATATCACGGTAAAAATTAAATTTTATTCGAGACGTTCTAGTGAAAAGTTAGAAGTGTTCGTACGAGAAAACGTCTCGCAGCACCGCGGTTCTCCTTACGGTTAAGCTTTGGTTGGGGGGGTAAGGTGGCGATAGTGTCGCCACCTCAGTTCGTCGCGGGCCGTGCTACAGTGCGGACGTGTCTAGTGCGCTCCTGTGTTGTGTACGTGTTGTGCTAGTGATTGACTCCGCCGACGTCGAGTTCGCTCCGTTTGGCGTCGAGGCGTCGCTGGCGCATTTCCTGCGTCGGACTGTTAATAAGGTAAGCGTAAAGGTCACTACTTACGCTGTGCCCTACTTTACGTTTTACCTTTTTGTACACTGTACCCTCTTTTTATAACAAAAAGTGATTACAAGTGTTCCGCATTTGAGTGAGATTACGCCCATCCCATCTGCGCCTCACACACCCCTCCCTGCTCGCGGGCGCCTCGCTGGGCCTCCCTCACGGGTCTCACCCGGTGTGGTTGCACGCGCTGAGGGGAGTAAGGTGTGTGATAGCTAAGGGCTGAGCATAATTAATAATTAATTAGTAATGTCGGACAAGGGGGAACCTCCCCCAACACGCCGTAAACCACCTGATAGGCGTCAGGGAGTACTCGACAGGCCCCTCATGGAGCGAGACCTCTTCGTTCCTGAGAGATCTAGAGTGCTCCCACCTTACAGCCAACTCCCGAGGCGAATAGGCAGTATACCGGCGCCCGGCGCCGCGCTCGGCGCAGGTGAAGTTGTGTCTTCACCGAGCGCAGAACTGGCTCCATTACCACGCCGGAGCCTAGCCTCGCGGAGACGTACACCTCCCGAGATAGAACAAGACCAGCTGCAAGAGGAGAAAAGGCTGAGAGCCGGATCAGACTCACTATCTGATTCGGCATCGCCTTCTGCCTCTGCCACACCACCTGAGATACAAGCCCCACAACCTGTGGTAAGACATAACAGACCGCCTAACTCACCGTCTCCAACCACCTCTCCGGCCTGCACCGCTGACATGCAGGATTTCGGTGAGGAAGACCCGGAAGGAGAGAGAGAGTGGGACAATACGTCCTACGCCACTCTAGCCCCAATTCAAGACTCCCAACCTGTAAACCAGGAGCCCATACCTGGTCCATCTTCAGCGCCAGACTCTTATGCGCAAATTGCAGCAGCGCCGAGGTCAGCGCCATCATCACCTCCACCACCACCTGCACAGAAAGAACAACAGCCAGTAAATAACCAGGCCAAATACCCTCCTATTATAGTGGAGTGCTTCCCCAACTGGGCGAAGCACTTCAAAATCATACATCAACTTTTGGGTCACGCCCCCAATGCTCGCCCGTTTGGGAAGGGAGTCCGTTTTCGGCCCCAGTCCGACGTCGAGTATCGGAAGGTCCAGCGCTACCTCATCGATAAAAGCAAGGAGGATGCCACCTTCGTGTGGTACTGCTACGCCCCACAGGAGGAGCAACCCACGAAGGTGGGGTTAAGAGGGCTCCCTGCCGATACAGACCCTAAAGACATACAGGAGGCCCTCATAGAGAAGGGCTTTCCAGTTACATTTGTACGGTCAATTCCACCAAAAAGAGGCAGGCCTGGCTGCCTGTTTCACGTGAAAATGAGTCACCTAAGCCCCGAAGAGCTCAACAGATTATACCAAATTGATGAGCTCCTTTACATGCCGGGAGTAACAATCGAAGGCTGGACAGGCAGAATTGGCCCTGCGCAGTGTCACAGGTGTCAAGGGTTCGGACACGCATCCTACAACTGCTACCGACCCTTCAAATGTGTACGCTGTGCAGGTGACCACCTGGCCTCAGCATGCCCACAACCGCGGGATGCGCAACCTAAATGCGCAAACTGCGGGAAAGATCACTCGGCGAATGACAGGCGGTGCCCAGTGTTGCAGCGAATTGCAAGGAAGAGGGGGATTAATATGCAACCCCCTATCCCCGCGCAAACAACACGAGCACCGCAACGTCAACCACCCCCACTACAAAGCCAACCACCTGCACCGCATTGGCAACCTCCACCACCTCAAAAACCTCAGTACTACCCACCCCAACAGCAGCAATATTCACAGCAGCAACACCTGCAAAGGCAGGAACCGCAACCGCAACAGCGGCAGGTAACAATCACACCTGCACCAACCACATTTGTTACGACCGGGGCGACTTTAGCACCACCGGCGAATAACGCCACGGAGCGCACAGAGCGCCCAAAGAAAAAGAGAGGAAAGAAGAAGAAGAAGAAGAAGGCAACCACCCAACCAGCTCAAGTGGGTGGTACTTCGACTCCTCTTCCTCCACTCGTCACTACCACACAACAACAGCAATCACTGCCACAACCGCGGTATACATTCCCTCCATCCAATCAGAACGAGCATTCTGCACTCCAACCCCGAGATCAACGCCCACCCAAAAAGACAATAACTGTCGCTCCCCCATTACAGCCCCAGGCACCAACCACCATCGAGGAGGCCCTCGCTCAACTGGTGGGCGTGGTAATCAGGATCTTAGGAGAGGTCCTGACTGCCATGACCACCGGCACCAACCCCCTTTCGGCCATCCTAACGGCCTTAGCCCAGTTAACCTCCGTCAGCAGGCCATCCACTTAGGATGTGTTATTGGAACCCCGGCGGCATCTTAGGGAAGGTCGCCGACCTGAGAACCCTGGTCCAGCAGCACAATATCCAAATTGTGCTGCTGGGGGAGACCAAACTGCGCCCCTCTGCTCAATTAAAACTCCCCAACTTCTTTGTGTACCGACATGACGAGATCTCCTCAGAAGGTATCGCGTACAGAGGTACTGCGGTCCTTGTGAGGAGGGACGTCATGCACGAAGAAGTTGGCACCAATACACAGTTTATATCCACCAGAACCAAGGGTGTAAGGCTGAGGGTAGGCACCAGAGAAATTAGAATCTTTGCTGCCTACAGACCTCCCGGCACCTCACTTGCCCCCCAAGACATAAGTACCATATTTGACTCCACGACACCTGCAATTATCGCCGGAGACCTCAACGCGAAACATCCCGCTTGGGGCTCCGCGCTGATCACACCACCCGGCAGGAAACTGTTCGACGACGCCGAGGAGTGGGGGTACGAGGTGCTGGGCCCTGATGAGCCCACCCATATCCCGACAAAGCCAGAACATAAGCCCGATGTTCTTGACATTGTGCTGTGTCATCTAGTGCCGTATACAACACGGTTAGAAGTGTTGTATGACATAGATACACAACACCTCCCCGTGCTGATTACTATCGACACCAGTGCGGATGCCATGGTGCCCAGAAGTCTCCGAATGAAGACAAATTGGACCCGTTTTCGTAGTGCGCTGGAGGACTTCCAACCTTGCGCCCCAATTACCACCAGTGAAGATGTGGAGACTGCGGCCCTACATCTTCACAACACTATAAAAGATAAACTCCAACTCCACTCTCACCCTGTCTCCACGGGGCGCGGGAAGGAGGGACTCCCACGAAATCTCCAAACGCTCCTGTCCGAGAAGCGGAAGATGAGGAGACTCTGGGCACGGACACGATGCCCACGTTTAAAAACTAAACTAAACGCTATGACGGAAGAGCTGTCGGAAGCAATGAGAGCTTACAGGGGAGAAGCATGGGAGAGGCGAGTTGACGAAGCCTCGGAGACACCCGCCTCCCTGCATCTCCTCAACCGGCAGCTCACCAAGACACCACCACCTGTCTGCCCACTGGTGGACAGCACGGGGAGTAGGATTTACGACGCCCAACCTAGAGCGGACTTGATGGCACAGCACCTAGAACAACAGTTCATACCCAACAGCATAGCAGAGGGGTACGCAGACCACGTACAAGGCATAGAGGACCGCGTACGGGAATACCTCTCTAACCCGGCGCCGCCATTGCGAGGCGGCGATTTCATATCTCCAACAGAGGTAAGGCGCACTATTATGCGCCTACCTAGCCGTAAAGCGCCGGGTTACGACGGCATTACCACCATTGCCATAAAGCAGCTGCCCAGAAGGGTAATAGTGGCACTCACCAGTCTGTATAATGGCATCCTGCGGACTGGCCACTTCCCGACCATATGGAAGCAGGGCAGAATCATCGTGCTGCCGAAGCCGGGAAAAGATAGGAGGTTCCCGGCCAGCTACCGCCCCATAACGCTATTGCCGCACATAGCAAAACTTTTTGAAAAAATCACCCTGAACAGGGTTCTCCCACATGTTACCCTGCGTGAGGAGCAATTTGGCTTCCGCAGGGGACATTCCACAACATCTCAGCTGGCCCGCGTGCTGCACTATCTTGCGGCCGAATATAACTTCGGCCGCATCTGTGTGGGGGTCCTTCTCGACATGGAGAAGGCCTTCGACAGGGTGTGGCACGCAGGGCTAGTTTATAAACTCATTCAGCACACCACTTTACCGCCCATGCTTGTGCGGTTAATAGCGTCATTCCTGGAAGGGCGGAGCTTCCATGTCTCCTTGGAAGGGGCTGTTTCGGCGGCACGACCGATTTCTGCGGGAGTGCCACAGGGCAGCTGCCTATCACCGCACCTGTACGCGGTCTACACCAACGACATCCCCACCCTCCAAGGCCATCTGGAGGAATGGGAGGATGACGTTGTCCTAGCCTTGTACGCCGACGACAGTGCGTACTTCGCGTCATCACGTCGGGTGGACATAGCTGTTAAGAAATTGCAGCGGGTACTCGACCTCTTGCCTGAGTGGCTGGACAAATGGAGGCTGGCGGTCAACGTCGGGAAGACCGTCGCCTTCATGACCAGGCTGGCCAGAACACCACCAACCCTGCAACTCCGCGGGCAGGATGTGGGTTGGAGTAGTACCATTACGTACCTAGGATGCCAGATAGATCGCTCGCTGCGCATGACCCCGATGGTCAATCACGTTGTGAGACAGGCCAGAGCTGCGCGAGCGAAACTATACCCTATACTGGCATCCAAACTCCCAACAAGAACGAAAATAGGTATCTACAAAACCTACATCCGCTCGCGGCTGACCTACGCAGCACCAGCCTGGTACGCGTTGACCTCGGCCACTCAGCGCAAGAGGTTGCAGGCCCAGCAAAATCTTGCGCTCCGGGTGATCGTGGGAGCCGGTCGCTACGTCAGGAATGACATCATTTCTCGCGACCTCAAGGTCGAAACCATCCACGATTTTGTGGTCCGTTCTGCGAGACGGTTGTTCGACCGCGCAGACAACGGGCCACACCTTCACCTTCAAAATCTTGCTCCCCTCCACGCCCGCCCACCTGACGGGCGACCACTCCCACGTGAACTTCTACGCTCACTGCCCGGCACAGGGGACGCCGGGGGTGAGTGAGCGTCCCGACACTCGACGTGATGGCGCGAGGTGCGCAATACACCTACATATAAGCTGCCAACGCAGCACCCAGGACCGGGGGGTCGTGTCCTCCTGAGATGCCGCCCATGTAAAGAGGGTCTCCTCGACACATGAAAACCTCCACAAGGAGATGAACCACCACTGTCGCCACCTGTGTATTATCCTACGTAATATCAATTTGTGTACGATATATAACAACAATTTACAATTTTCCTTTGTTATTATCATCTATCGCGAGTTGTGTGAGTCAGTGTTTGTAGTTCGTTTGTGATCTAATACTACTACTACGAAGTAATGGCAGATACAGCAGTAGCTTCCGAAACTCCCGCTCCGGCGACTCCGGCGAAAAAACCGAAGGCCGCCGCTACTGCAGCAGGTGGTGCAAAGAAGCCCAAGGCGAAACCCACTCATCCGAAGACTTCCGAAATGGTCACCAGCGCAATTAAAGAGCTGAAAGAGCGCAGTGGATCATCTTTGCAAGCGATAAAAAAATATATTGCCGCTCAATATAAAGTCGACGCTGAAAAACTAGCTCCGTTCATCAGAAAGTACCTGAAGAGCGCAGTCGAATCGGGTGCGCTTATACAGACAAAGGGCAAGGGGGCTTCCGGTTCCTTTAAGCTTGAATCAAAATCGTCCGCCTCTAAGAAACCGTCGACGGGTAAGAGCAGCGGTGGCGCAAAGAGCGGCGTGTCCGCCGCTAGCTCGGTGTCGGCGAAGGTGAAGAAGAGCACCGCCGCGGGTAAGGGTAAAAAGACAGCATCGGCAGCGACCGCATCATCACCGTCTAAGGCAAAACCGTCTGCAGCTACCAAGGACAAGAAGGCGGCCGCC